AAAGGGGTGTACATATAGCACTTTTCTTTGTGTAATTTATTAAAAGGGGGTGTACATATAGCATTGCCCATAAAAAAACCAGAAATCTTGTTAGTAGGTCCTTTTCTATAGTTTTTTACCTGTCGTAATTCAAATATCAGGTGCAACTAATTGGGACTATTATACCAAAAAATAAAAAAAAAATGATAAATACATGACGCGAAAAATATCACTTTTTTTCCCAAACCCAAGGGACAACATCAAGCACTGCAAATTTTGACAGTCCCTTTAAATTTAAACCACAATCAATAAAAACCAATTTTAATAAAAATTAAATAAATCAAATTAACAAAAAAAATAAATATAAATAAAGGGGAGATAAAAAACACAAAGAAAATAAAAAATTTGTCTTATCATAGAATTCCGCAATAATGATTTGTTTTCCTGATTAAACCCTCTTTCCCCGATCCCAATAACCTTGCTTTAATCAGTTCATTTAATATAAATTTATCGTTTATTTAAAAAAGAAAAGAGAGTAAATAAACTTACGGGTGGAGAAAATGCTCGAAAAGCCACGCCCTGAGAATATTAACTGATCTCTCGGGCAGGCCTCGTTGGGGCCGCCACGCCTCTTGCTCCATCATCCCCATCTGCTGGAAGGCCCTTTGCTGCCGGAGGCTCTGTTCGAGCATCCGTAGTCGTGGGGTCTCGCCTTTGGTCACGCCCGACGAGCTCGCGTCCTTTTCTCCGAGCGCCTCACAGCTCTGCTTGAGCTGTGAGGCGATCGAGTCCTTGAGGCACCGGAAGTGCCGGGACATGGCCTTCTGGGCTAGAGACGTGTAAGGCCCGGCCGACCCGAACCCCATCACCATGTCGAACGAGTTCACCACCATCTGCATTTGTTCACAATAGTGGTTGTACCTCCGGTCCACCTGCTTGTACCCGCCGTTGTCGTTGTCATCGAAAATTCAAATTCCAAATCATTAAGTTAAATTATAATTATATTTGTCTGGTGTATAAGACGTGCACAACACCAAATGAAAAAAAAAAAAATTAAAAAAAATCCTATGGTTGTACCTTAACTATATGTAAATTTATGTGTGCCCCCACTAATCATATCATTACGACTTACAATTAGAGATTAATTAAATATTTTTAGAATTAGGTGAAGAAATTATAATATAATTGGAATTTAGTAATTTAATCAACCGCCGGCAATAGAAAATAATTTCAGGAAACCAACCGGAATTTTCATAACTTCAAGTTTAGAACCAAAAAGAAGAAAAATTAAAAACGAAAAGATTGGAGTAATTAATTAAATTAAACCACATAATTATTGGCTAATAACGTACCTCGTCGAGCATAGATAAAAGTTTGACCTTTCTCCTCTGGTGCTCGAGCCTATCGGCGGCCGACAGCGGCGGATTCACCTCCTTGGAAGAAGACGACGAGTTCCCGCCTCCGCCGGCGGAGCTAGGGTTTCCGTTGTCATTGTTGCTCCACCGCCGGAGCTTGCTCTTCCTGAACTGTCCCCGGCCGACACTGCAAAACTCCTCTAACAGCTCCTGTGCCGCCTTTGCATACTTGGAGTTCCTCAACAGGCTCATGGCTCCGTAAGAAGAAGACGAGGAAGAAGATCCTATGCCCATCTGCTGCATCTGGTTATTATTGCCGCTGGCCAAATTCTTGAAATGATATTGATGATGTGGCGCTGGTGCTGCTGCTGCTGAACCGAAAAAAAGC